AGCGTGTGCTTTGAAGATGGTTTGATTACAGTCAATTTTACTGCTCTCTGCTGTTTCAAGCAGGATTTGTCTTCATACAGAAACAGTACATAGGCGTGGTTTTTATAAAATTCATTCCTCCATGTAATTATAGTTTGAAACAGTGAACAGATTGTGTGGAACTCTGCCATGAACTTGTAGGTATTTGGTGGAACCACCACAAAAGATCAAGGAAGCTGGTATGTGATATTAACATTTGAGGTGTTTTATATTTGTTCTGTGATGTTTATTGCTGTTACAATCTCTGTATATTATATTATTAATATAATATTATTTTGGATTGTAGAGAAAGTGCAGAAGGTTTGTCTGTTTAAAATAAATTATTTATGGCTTCCACAAATGAAACATTAGTGTAACATACACGTTACAGAACGCCTATCTTGCTACATGCACTCTTTTTTCACAAGTGAATTTCTGAGTATTCAATGACCTTTCCATGACCATTAGGATTTAAAATAATAATAATTTTTGTTAATGAATCATTCTGACTTTTCTGTGAACTGCTTTGACTGATTCATACAAAAGAACCTACTCATAAGAATGATACAGTTTGACTTGCAAACAGTTATTACTTACAAGAAATATTTAGCCAAGTAAAGGTTTTACAGTAGAGCATAAAATGTATATTCAATACACAAAACACAGTTTTAAAATTCACTAATTTCCAGTTTTTCCAAGACTGTGGAAACTATGTACGTGGGGAAGTTTAGGTCAAGAAATACACAAATAAATTTTGCAATACTGATGCAGTGGTGATGATAATAATAACATTACATTTCAATTACTCATCTAATGCAGCATTTAAATCATTTTAAGCCCTGAACAACAGGATATAAATCAAAAGTTTACAAAGGAGCTGTTTACAGGAGACTATGGACTTCTGAAGCCCTTCTGATCTATTATCACTCAGGACGATGAAAGATGGGCTGCTGAAGGGTTAATAAAGACCACCAAAGCAAACACCTTGATTTATTTCTGAGCCACTTACATTGAAGCAATAATCTGATCAGTCTTTAATGTGATTTTCCTCATCTCACTTGCTCTCTTTCAGTCTCTCAACGGCTCAGTTTAACTAAACGACTATCAACACATACTGTTTTAATGTGATTAAGATGAAACATCAAAATACAGTTGATTTGATTTCACTTTTGTGGGAACAGAATGTCTCATCAAACTTATCTGACCAGGAGGTTAATGATTGGCAATAGATTCACTCACTGGGGCTGATTCTTTAGGTTTGACTGGTAGTTTTGTTTAGTCAGTCCAATTAAGAAAAGCAGTAATTAATAATCATTTGGTTGCATACAGAATGTCACGTTTCGCATTTGTGCGGTTGTGTTGCTGCATAACTCAGAAAAATATGATAAACACATAGTCTAAGTGACAAAGTATTAGAGTGATGCAGGTACATTCAATTTAAGTCACCCTCTCACCCTCCTAGACCTTAACATTACATTATTAAACATGACATAAATTGTAATCATTGTCCATCAGAGAAAATGGCAACAATCTTTGAAAATAAAAGTGTAACTAAATAAATAATCTAATAAATTTGTCAAATTAATAATTATTAATAATTAACCATAACAAGAGTACACATACCACATTTATAACATGCTGGGGAGGGGAAAAAAGGGATTTGCTGGTCTTGGTTGGTTTAATATGGTCTCCCAGATCGGCCAAGCTGGTTCTCAGCTAGTTAAGCTGATTTACACCAGCTAGACTAGTAGAAAAGTGCTCAAAACCCGTTTAAAACCAAAAAGCAGACTAGCTTGATCAGCCTAGGTGAAAAGACGAAGACCAGCATACCAGTTTAGGCTAGTATACGCTTTTTTTTCAGCAGGGACAGGGTTAAATTTCGAATTACACGAAAGTTTGACCGAAAAGTATGAATTTAACATAAAAAGCATCGTGTCGCTCAGACACATGATTCCGCCTCTGTTGACTCCTCTCTTCCTCTTCCTCCTCATCATCATTCATCAATATCAACGTCATAAATAATCATGAACACAAATAGCTTGTTTTATTATAGCTCGTGTGTGACCAGAGTGATATGTGAAGGTGATAATGCGATGTCCACTCTCATGTTAGCACGTAGAGCCATCGCACGAAAAACTCTAAAAGAGGGCAACGATACAGGAACACGGCGCACCAGTATGTGAGAGAACGAGGCTGACACGAATGAACACACGCATGGCTTTATATCGTCTTTTAACCAAAATGAGCTTTCAACAGTCGTATGCAAAGAGTGAATGAAGGGCAAACACATCAATGTTGTTCACTAATGTGTGTTTGCACTCGGTGACTGTTTAGTGTGTGTTGGGATTGTTCCGAAGCGTATGCCACTCGCTCTCTTTTCTCGATGGCGTTTCTATACCGATAAACTCACACCTCCTGCTGATCTAATGAATTATAGTGCACACTTCTTCTGTAACTATTGTGTGTTTTGCGTGTTACATGAATGTCCAGGACATTATGAAGATGTGGTTTTAATCTCTCTATCTCGGAACCGTGCCGAAATGTTTCGCGCAGTCTGAGTGGCTGTCTCGGGCTGTCACTCAAGCGTGCGGCCAATCACAACTGTCCTTACATGAAAACTATATTTTCGCTCACTGCATGTACAGTAGACTGTATGTTGCAAAAAAAACACACACACAAAAAAACATTATTAAAGTGAACGGAGAAAGACACCATCGAAGAGGTGCGAGAGGTGGGCAACGGACGTGTTAAGTCACTTTGGGGGCCTGTTGCAGGTAAGTGGCGACGCACATGCACTGTTAGACTTTATTTTACCAGCGCGACGCCGATCTGACACTAAAATACAACATCCAGGAAGCTCTATAGATAGTGGATCTGTGTTCAGAAAAGCATTCCCAGCATGGTGGTGCCATCCTTTTGAAGTAGGTGCTTGTAGATCAATTAAATGCAGCGCAAAAGTTAAGGTAGAATGGCTTGACTTAAACCCTGATGATAAATCCGGTTTAAAATGAAAGGTGTGTTTTCAAAAAAGGTGTCTGTCTAAGCTGCTGTACCATTTTAGACCAGCAACATACCAGCTATCAGTCGTTCATACAAGCTTAAGATGGTCAGGCAGGTTTTTGCAACATTTCTAGTCAAGTCTAAGATAATGAGACCAGCAACAACAAAGATACAGTCAGTTAGACCAGTTTAAGGTGTTCAATCATCTGTTTGCAACATTGCTAGCTATCTAAGTGGTCAATAAGCTCTTGATCCAGCAAAAAACAGCAACCGGCTGGTCATATGAGTTGGTCAAGCTGTTTTTTGGAATCTGGTGTCCAGTCAACCAGCTAATTATGAAAATGATAATATGACATGTACAGGTTCATCTCAATAAATTTGAGTGTCGTGGAAAAGTTCATTTATTTCAGTAATTCAACTCAAATTGTGAATCACGTTTATTAAATAAATTCAATGCACACACAGTGAAGTAGTTTTAAGTCTTTGGTTCTTTTAATTGTGATGATTTTGGCTCACATTTAACAAAAACCCACCACTTCACTATCTCAACAAATTAGAATACTTCATAAGACCAATAAAAAAAAAAAACATTTTTAGTGAATTGTTGGCCTTCTGGAAAGTATGTTCATTTACTGTTCATGTACTCAATCCTTGGTAGGGGCTCCTTTTGCTTTAATTACTGCCTTAATTCGGCATGGCATGGAGGTGATCAGTTTGTGGCACTGCTGAGGTGGTATGGAAGCCCAGGTTTCTTTGACAGTGGCCTTCAGCTCATCTGCATTTTTTAGTCTCTTGTTTCTCATTTTCCTCTTGACAGTACCCCATAGATTCTCTATGGGGTTCAGGTCTGGTGAGATTGCTTACTACTTCAGTCTGTGTGCATTGAATTTATTTAATACACGAGTTTCACAATTTGAGTTGAATTACTGAAATAAATGAACTTTTCCACGACATTCTAATTTATTGAGATGCACCTGTATAGTCAAGTCTGTCCACAACAGCCCCACACTGTGCACAAATTAACTAGCAGTAACTGTATTATAGCAGATGGTCAATTTTATACAAGCAACAAACCAGCTATAAGTCGTTCTTATCATCTTATGCAGGTTTTTGCAACACGGTAGCTCGTTTCTAGCTGGTCTAAGATGGTCGTTAAGCTGGTAGACCAGCAACAAACCAGCTACCGGCTGGTCATGTGAGGTGGTTTTTGGAACCTTATTACTGGGGAACCAGCTAATTATGATAATGATGATATAATCAAGTCAGTCCGAAACAGCCACAAACTGTGCACAAACTAACTAGATGTGTTTTGGAGCATGATAGCCAGTTTCTAGCTGCTATAAAATGATCATTGAACTCTATAAACAGCAACAAACCAGCTGGTAATGTGAGGTGTTTTTTTTTAGAACCTGATTACTGGTAAACCAGCTAAAACCAGCCCAAGGTGGCTGGCTGATCTTATCTGGTTTAAGGAACATGGCTTCTAGTTTCTAGCTGATATACTGTAAGATGGTCATTAAGCTCTTTAACCAGCAAGAAACTAGTTACCGGCTGGTCATGTGAGGTGATCAAGCTGGTTTTTGGAGCATGATGACTGGTAAACCAGCTAGTTGTGACGATGAAATGATATAAGTCAGTCCAGAACGGCCACAAACTGCACAAAGTAGGTGTGTTTTGGAGCAAGGTAGCTGGTTTCTGTCTGTTCTGATCTGTGATGGTCGTTAGCTGGTCAAAGCTTGTAAACCAGCAGCAAACCACCTACCAGCCAGTCAGAAGGTGGTCGAGCTTATTTCTGGTCGACCAGCTAGAACGCAGCTAACATGTTATAAAACACTGTTATAAATCACATGTATCATATTAGACTGAATTTTCCAACTGGACCCCGACTGGATGATGATGTGACACGGTAGGCCAGCGAGTCCAGCGCTGTGAACATCCACACACTGTGCACACGGGCTTCAGAACAGAGCAGTCAGTGAGAACACTTGAACGCACGGAGGGGGAGGAGGGCTGCGAGAGAAAACAAACCGAGAAAATTGTTCGCCTGAAACGAAAGAACCAATATCAAAGTGGCATTCGGGGCCCACCGTTATTCGTTTTCGGAGTGATCGGTGCGATTTTGATGTAGTTTTGTCGACTTCACGCTGCAGTGTTGCTCCTTTCCAAGCATCCGGTAAAAATAATATAAGTGTCTGTGGGGCTACTGTACGGACGGCCAGTGCAGAACTGTTCTGATGTGTCAATAAGTTTGAGGCTGGAATGAGAAGGCCCTGGCGTTTCGACCGGATTTCAGGGGTAAGTTTGCGTTCACAGATGCCGCGATGACTGAAAACTTGGACATATTTTGTGTGCGAAAAGCCCCGAGTTCCGATTGATCGGGAGCTCTCGCTTAGATAGTGCGAAATTCGTGCCAGTTTGTTGTGCTTCGGCATAAACAACTTCGGCGTTCGGCGTGTTTGGACACCTGCTCTCACCGAACATTAGGGTTTCTGTGAAATTCACGACGATTTAACATGTACGACCGACCGTGCGATTATTGCATATGGGTCTGCTAATGACACGTTCAGGCGAGCTAGAGCAATCTCGCATCACAGGGGCTAGCAGGCTAGCCAGCTACTTTTATACTATCTGACTAAACGGAGCGAAAAACCCGAGCACAAAACCGTCTCATCTGAAAAGTCTGCCCCGAAAACCCCTAGTTTAAGTAATGAAAGCTCGTGGAGGGGGGATCTGTCTCTGAAAATGCCTTGGCGGAGTTTGACAGGAGTGAGATTTATACTTCATCTTCCCCAAAGCAAGATGGACTCTCGGCTGTCTGTCTTGTCAGAGCCCAGATCGACATTTTGCACCGAGATGCAAACCCAGCACAGTTCAAATAAGGGGTCAAATGAGTTATGAAATGAGCTCGATGGCTTAAATAATCGGAAGATATCGTCGATATGGTGCTTTGTGGAGTTCTTGATTCGGTGATCGACAGTTCTGCAGACACACACACGGAGAGAGCACCGCTCTCAGGCTCTACCTGAAAACTAAACGCTGCAATACTGTATATATCGTCCATCCACTCGACGAAACTGTGTCGGTTGTGCTTTAATAAGACCTACGTGAACGAGCCGAAGTATGGCAAGCCTCTTTAACAGTTGTTACAGCTTGCATTTTTATTAATGTTACAAAGGTCGTATTGTTTGAATTCACAAGTAACTGTTCATTAGATGCAAATGCATATGTCAATAAAATGGTGTTCACACTGACAAAGACCTGCAGTGGAAGAGCAACAGGAAGTCGTTCATTCAACATGAGCGTTGATGACCATTGGTGATGGGAAAAGTTGAGAAGAAACGAGCAGCGATGCAGTGCGCCAACTACCAGTAGGAGTTTAGAGTAGGACCGCCGACTGGAAACCATTAGTACAGCGACTCGGTGACCTTCAGCGATTTAAGCGCTCTCAGTGTCAACGACCTTTCACTACTATGTTATCATGTTCAGCAAATCATCAAAGTTGAAAAAAATCGCAGTGAAATAGTAGCGACATATCTTTTCTTCCGTAATGTGACGTGCGTCACAAAAGAAAAATGTACGGACGGGGAGTTGGCTCAATCCGTCGGTTGTTTATTGAATTTTGAGATGTGGTTGTTGCGCTCAAACGGGGAGATAGATGAACATGAGCCTGCAGGGGTGGGTTTAAGCGGACTAAATGATTGGAGAAGTCCAGAATGCGTCGCCGGAAAGAAATATGCCATTTTGATGAACAATCCAGTTATGGTATTTTAATTGAACATTACGAGGTCAGAAAAAAATGAAACGTGCATATGAATTGTTTACACTAAGATCTATAACATGCATCTCGAAAGAGTGAATTTTAATTTCCTGCCGGTGTACCGACGAAACATGCTACCTATCAGATTGTGCTACCAAAAATGTATTTGCATTGTTTTAAGGGTAAGTTTAGGGTAAGCGTATGTGTGGACAGGTAGGTTTAGGGTAGGGGTAGGTATGGACATTAAAAAAAAACTCAAACCACATAAATAAGACCCTGGTAGCACAATCTGATTGGTAGTATTTTTCGCTATCGATTTGTGCTACCTATCGTTTTAATGGGAGGTAGCACAATCTGAGCGGGTAGCACAAATCGTCAGAACACCGGCTTCAATTTAATGTCTTTTGTTGGCTAGCGAGCATCAGCAAGATGGGTGCTAGTTAATCTTTGAAGACAGCAATTTTCAGATGTTTATGACCTCATACAGGGATGATTTAAAAAGTAATTTAAAAACGTATGTGTTGTATGCCAATTAATTGTGTCTGTGGACCCATATAGCCTTGCGTTTGTGGTCTTGGCACAGATTGCCGCACTGCCATATGTTAATGCACAGAAGGACTTTGAATAACATTTTAGCAGTAGTGACGTTCATTACCATGTTAGATAAACCAGAACTAAGAATGGCTACTAACAACCAGCCAGTACATCGACTTATGGAATGCAGCTACAAAGTTGTTACTTTAATCATTAGAAGTGATATATTATTCATTAGAAACTAGTCATTATTCCAATATGTAGTAGTGTCTATTTAGTTGGTCACTAATGCTTATTGCAAGTATTTTCCACTAAATTTAATGGGAATTGTGGTTTAAATATCAGCTATTTGTTTCTGACGTGTATATATTCATATTGTATTTATTCAAGCTTAACTAGTAATGATTTAGTAAGTTGTTTATTTACTAGTAGCTACTTGTCCCTGTTAGATAGTACTAGCATCTATTAATACTAGTATCTTTTAATAAGTGGCTAAATTATAGATACTATTGATTGTTGGAATAAAAACAAATGTCTAATGAATGATTCCTAATATCAAATGAATGAGTTAAATGGTTAAATTGAAAAAGATACTAGTCACTATTGGACTATTTACTAGTAATCTGAAAATTGATGTCCATTTACTTTGTTGCAAGTCATTGTGAGGGTCATTTTTGTACTAGTAACATTAAAAAATAAGTATTAGTAAATAATACACCTGCTAATGAATAAATGTTACAACAGCTTGCCATAACTGAAGTAGTTTTAATGAATTCATTGTATGCTGTGAGCTATGTCATAACTTTATGCTTCATCAACAACACCGGAGGTGCCACCTTAGTTTGAAGCTGGAGTGGTGCACGTATGCCAAACTAATCCACAGTTAAAATTAGAGCCCGACCGATATGGGTTTTTGGGGGCCGATACTGATATTAGGGAGTGAAAAAAAAAGTAAATATCGATATATCGGCCGATATCCTTTGTGTATATTATAGTATAGTACCAGTCAAAAGTTTGGACACTTTCCCATTCATGTGTCCACACATTTGACTGGTACTATACATAGAATACAGTATAAAGGCTACATAAATGGAATATAAATACATAAACACATTTTTTGCAATGATCACTCAAATGTGGTGATCAAACACTTATAATGACGTGACAGAGATACGTAATGGAGGCAGGGCATTTAACAATTTAACAATAAACTTTATTATCCAAAATGAGTCTGACGTCAGTGCACTGAACAGTAAAGTTGAAGTTTATTCAACTTTAATTCAATTTAATTCCATTCAACTTTATTCCGTTGAAGTTTATTTCACTTCGGAATATTCATTCACAGATTTGCGCTACTGTCTTCACACACAGACGAAACTTACTAGAGAAGTGTGAAGTGTGACATAATATACCTCTGTAAATAAATACAAAATAAATTCATGTCTCGCGTACTTTAATGCCCTTTGATTGTAGCGTGTACGTTCCCTTGGAACTGGAATCATGGCGGAATTTCATGTGAAGTACACTTCGCAGGGCACTTACGGTCGAATAAGACAACACTTGAATGCTGCTACCTGAACAAGTCCTTACTGAAGTGAAAGTGTTGACTGGTGTCACTATCTCGCGAACGCGCTGGCAGATCTCCGCCAAATTCAGGGGGTCCCTTCAGCTCGAGGAGCCCGCTCGAACGCCACCCTCCGCGCGTCGGTAGGCCCCCCGGGATCGCTTGATCGGTCGGCGCCGGATTGCGAATTTAACCACCCGTAACTCCCAAACCCCGGGGGCTATTGACGTCTCATTCGAAAGCGGGCCTCTAGACGTACACTCGATTTGCGTTCGAGAGGGTTCCTCGAGCTGAAGGGATCCTCCGAATTTGGTGCAGATTCGCCGCGCCATTACGGAAATATGGCCGTTCGGAGTTTCAATGGTTTTCCATAGACTTAAGCTTCAAAAGCGTTTCATCCAGGTCGCCAGTAGCAAACAGTGGAGCGCGCTCTGCTGGACAAACTAAGTAATTACACCATTTCAAGCGTTTTATCTGCATTATGTTATATATAATTTCATATCGGCGGCATATTCGCCGATACCGATATATCGGCAACAGGCTCATATCGACCGATAATATCGGCAAAATGATATATCGGTCGGGCTGTAGTTAAACTGTCACTGACCGATGATGTCGGACTCGGGGCAACATTATCTGGTGCATTTGGCTTTGCTTTCGACTATTTGTTCCTGTACTGAGGGCACAGTGTTTTTTTGTTTCACTTTGTAGGTCATCTTCATCGCATGATACAGCCTGACTGACAGATCCATCCTCATCTTTCAAATACCGTATATCCATATTCTGTGGCTCTGTAAGTACGCCTTCACTTCATGCCATGTGTTTTTCCCCTTCATCAGTTGTTATATCTATTAAATTCACAGACTAATTGGGATCTGATGCCTTAACATCACGGATCAAACACTCATTACATCACAGATTTTAAGCTTGTGTCTGTACATAATCACCTGCTTATTGGGTTGTGCTCAATCCGAGATAAAACACACATTCATTCTTCAACCTTTTATCATGCAAAGAGCCAGTCTGTTCAAACATGGTCTACTTTCCTGAATGACTGCATTAATAACAAATTGTACTTTTGATCATCATATAATGGCATATTATAGCTTTAACCCTTCTATGGTAATCTGTAAAGAATAGACTATAAATACCACATAGTTTTTGGTATTGGAACCAGGCTTGATGGCATTGTCATGAATATCTAAAACCGAATAAAAGCAAATTTTCTGATTGTAATACATTTGTTTTTATAAAAATAACTATAACTATAACAAGTGTGCTATCTGATATTTTTGACTTGTATTTAAAAAAAAAAACAGTTACAACCTTTTGGCCTTTCCGTGTGTCATGCAGATTTTGAAAAATTTTAAAAATAAAAAAATTGTAATGAATAACCAAAATTGTAGCTTTAAGTTGTATCTATTAAATTCACAGACTAATTGGGATCTGATGCCTTAACATCACGGATCAAACACTCATTACATCACAGATTTTAAGCTTGTGTCTGTACATAATCACCTGCTTATTGGGTTGTGCTCAATCCGAGATAAAACACACATTCATTCTTCAACCTTTTATCATGCAAAGAGCCAGTCTGTTCAAACATGGTCTACTTTCCTGAATGACTGCATTAATAACAAATTGTACTTTTGATCATCATATAATGGCATATTATAGCTTTAACCCTTCTATGGTAATCTGTAAAGAATAGACTATAAATACCACATAGTTTTTAGTATTGGAACCAGGCTTGATGGCATTGTCATGAATATCTAAAACCGAATAAAAGCAAATTTTCTGATTGTAATACATTTGTTTTTATAAAAATAACTATAACTATAACAAGTGTGCTATCTGATATTTTTGACTTGTATTTTTAAAAAAAAAACAGTTACAACCTTTTGGCCTTTCCGTGTGTCATGCAGATTTTGAAAAATAAAAAAAATTTAAAAATTGTAATGAATAACCAAAATTGTAGCTTTAAGTTGTTCACCGTTTATTTTCTAATATCAAATTAATAAGGAAATTGAGATATGAAATGCAAAAAGTGAATGAATTTAAGCAGCATAAGAAAAGTTCTTAGACAAATTGTAAAACTCCATCAATTTTCTAAGATTTAACAAGAAGAAAATAACAATGATTTTTCCCGTCATATATTTTAAAACCAGAAAAAAAAAAAACGTATTTAATCCATTGAACTCGAATTAAGAATTTTTGTGTTTTTAATGGTTTTCGATGCAATGTCATTTACTTTAAAACCAGAAAAAATAATTTCTTAAAGTCCCCCCATAGTGAAATTCAAGTTTTTTATGTTGTTTATTTGTCTATGTGGTGTTTTTAATATGCTTTTAGACAAACCATGTGCCAATCTATTAATCAACACCATTGCTGAGTATTTTCTCCTTAAAACTGTAGTTTCCCAATGACAGTCCCAGAAATGCTGTTTGAAACAGCCCTCGGTTTGCTACGTCACAGTCCAATAACCAATCACGTCAAGGGATCAATTCCTATCACTAGCATGCAAAATATACCAATACCAGCACAAAACCAAAAATAAATTAGAGCAAAAAAACCCATGAAGCTGTGGTTTAATGTGAATTTAGAACTGCTAACTTGCATTATAACCCGTGGCAACAGTGTAAAAGTAGCCCGGAGTCAGACCCACCTCTCCCGCATCGGCGTATGTATGCTCGCGGGCGCGAATTAAGAATCACAAACAGCTGCATTCGAGTCTTCAAGGCATTTTAAGACACAACATCGTCAAGTAAGTAACTTTAATGAATCTTACAGTATTCACTGTAGTTGTCCACTTGTAAAAACATAGTTTTATCAGTCATTATCCGTGTATGCCATTGTTTTGCGTTTACTACAGTTCAGTGGATCAAGAGGCGCTGGTTGGTGTGACTGAGTGGAGGTGGGACTAATTTGCATATTCATAGATCAGTGTATTGTAAATGAGACAAGGGTGTAGAGTTACATTCAAGCTATTTTAAGGCATGAGAAAATTATTTTCACAAGAAACATTTAAATATGTCATTTTGATGATCAAAGATAAGTTTTAAGGGATAAAATATTTGACTAAAGGGGGACTTTAATTAATGCATCTTCAGATCCATTGTACTCTATAATTAAGAATTTGTGTTTTTAATGGATTTCAATGCTTGTCAAATTGAACCTAAAGATCACAGGTTAATGCAGTTTCTTAGGACAAAAGAAGGGTTACATTGCAATTAATTTATGGATGATTGTGCTTTTCAAGTTTTTTTATTTTATTTTTTATAACAGTCTGATAATGCAAACCTTTAAGTTCACTATTGATATTTACATATGAATACCAAAACTGCTGTTGTTTTCTTAACCTTTCCTCTCAGTCAATATCAGCTGTTGTAGGTTTTCATTGCTTTCATCAAAAGTGCATCATTGAAGTTTGATTTCATCTTATTATTTCTGTTAGTAAAACATGCACACCTGAATACTGATTCAGGTAAAGCAGCCTTGTTTACATTACACCTGAAGCTTGGAGCTACATTTCTGGTCTGTATAATTACATTCTGACAGATCAACCTGTCAAATATAGACATTGCAATGAGGAACTTTGACACATTTCTGCTGTGTAAAAGTCCCATTATCCTGTTTATGATTTATCTTCACATTATGGCATTTTATTTGATCATGAATGTATATCTTTGAGTTAAAATTTGCTTTAGACAATAATGAGATTAGATATTAAGGTGCCCCAAATCAGATCTCAGGTCTTGTATCTACCTGTCATTAGCTACCCTGCTTAGATTTCTGTTTGCTATTCAAATAGAGTAGAACTAAATTTATATTAAGATTATGATTAATGTCATGCACCAGGGTTACATTCAGATAACTAATTCCTATTTGTTTAATCTTGAATGTCAGTTAAAAATACATAGATTAGAATAGATTTCATAGCTTTAAACCAATTTCTTGGACATGTAGCTTTTTTAACTGCAAACTTGTTGCAAGTCTGTGTCTTGGTTCAGTTAGGTTTTGAACTATCGTTTCATTCAAATTTGGGAAATTTAGATATAATTTGTTTATGAAAGTTGTCCCTGCATGACAAGTGCCTGAGAGTACATAAGATAGGAAGGTCAGAGAATACATGCAAACATAAAACATGTGGCAAGGGTAAAAACGTTTTATGTCTTTATTGTAATGTCAAAATGTTAAATTTAATTTCATAATGTTACCTGAACTGAAAACAAATCATTCACTTTTCATACAGATTTCCTTTGACAGTAATAATGACTTTCATTATAAACATGATTTCTGCTCAGTTTTTTATGTACTGACATTCAAGCCAAAATGAGTTTCTGTGGTAATTAACAGCATGATACTACTACATTCCATTAATAGTAATATTTTCACAACCATGACCAAGGGTAAAAACGTTTTATGTCTTTATTGTAATGTCAAAATGTTAAATTTAATTTCATAATGTTACCTGAACTGAAAACAAATCATTCACTTTTCATACAGATTTCCTTTGACAGTAATAATGACTTTCATTATAAACATGATTTCTGCTCAGTTTTTATGTACTGACATTCAAGCCAAAATGAGTTTCTGTGGTAATTAACAGCATGATACTACTACATTCCATTAATAGTAATATTTTCACAACCATGAGTCACAGTATTAGTCGTATATTTTGGTTGATTATGTTTGGGATTTTTCCTCTAAACTGATGACAATCTTAGCCATGTGAAATATTTTTTTTTCCAATGTGTTTTTTTTAATCCTCATTTGATAATGTAATGTCCATTTGATTGCACTTTATCAGGCCATCATTCACTAAGAAAGGCTATTGCCACTCAGGCTGAACACCCATTAGTGCATATAGTGACTGGTCATAAAGGCAGAACTGTTGCCCTGCAAGACTTGATTGGTTTCGTTCAAGTGGCCCATGCACAGTTGTACCTGCTGTACTTTTGGGGAACTTTGTGCTTCGTTTGTGCTTTCAGAAAAAGAATAAACACTGACAGGAATAGTTCACCCATAAATTAAACTTCGGTCATCATTTACTGACCTTCATGTTGTTCCAAACGCACAGTACAGTTTTTCTGTAGACCATAAAAGGAGATGGATGTCCTGAACTCCTTTTATACTGTCTGCTTTCGTTGAATGGAAAAGAGCAGCATGAACATCCTCAAAACATCTCCGTTTGTGTGCCAAAGAGGAAAAATGGGATTGAAATGACATGACATGACATGAAAACATTTGCTAAATTAATACATGTAAATGTACATAAGAGTGAGTAAAGTGAACACTTCATTTACTGTTGAAATCAATTAGCAACCCAATCAAATTAAATATAAGTTAACATTTACAGATTTTTTATTTTAATTTTTTTCATTTTGCTTCTTACAGAAAATAAATCATCAGTTGCAGTTATTTTATTCTATTGACTCATTTTAGTCACAAACAGTTTTTTGAGTGTTAACCTTTCCTTCTTGCCATATTATACTTCCAAGAAATGTATACTCTCTGTGGAGTTCCTCCTCGCTACACTCACATTTAGCTTAATTCATTTTAGTTTAATCAATTGTTTTTAGTACAGTGACAATATAAAAGCCAGTTATTTAATTTTGCATTTTGCAAATGGTTAATTTACCAACATATATCCATACGAAGCTTTTTTCTATATGATACTGTTTTTCTCAAACAGTATAAATGGATCTTTTTACATTGAAATATATAGCTGCTTTTAAAATAATCACATTTTTGGGTCCATGGCATGAAAACCTCTCGGTTAGCGGATATTTACATCTGCTTGTAACCTGCTCTTTTTTTTTTTAGTTCTCATATTAACAACGATGAATGAATGTGCGAGACCTTGTCTAGTGTCAGCATTTGTTCATAACAGTCCTGTAACCAAATGAACAGCAAGAGGGCAGCAGACACCAGCTATGAACAACATTTCAGAAGATGTCTGCTGCTAATGCAATGCATAGATACATTGTACTCCCAAATTCAGACCCATTCCTATGTGCGGTTGAAAATTTAACACATGATAATTGAGGCATGTGAGTTAGGAATCATTCTATGTTAAGTTTCATGGTGACGTGAGGGTCATTGTGTGTGTGTGTGTGTGTGTGTGTCTTCCTCTTCCTGTTTGTGTGCATGCAACAAACGTGTGTGAGATGTGTGCTCTGGTCCTATTGGAGAGGAGAGAGCTGGTGTATGTGAAGGTCACATGTACAGTAGAGCTGCACCGGTGCTGCAGACGCAGAACAACAGCGCTGAGATAGACAGGGAACCCTGTGTCCGCTCTCCCTCAGCGAACACTGCGCCACACTGCACTCGACAGCCTGTTTTTCATGAACTACCACTGCGCACTGGAAGAGACTGCACGTTGAATATGCTCTGAATCAAGGCTCCTTGTCCACACTGGTGCAGTTATTACTTGATTTATGACCCCATCAAAAATACATTATTATAGTGTGAGCTTTTCTTATATTCTTCTGATACCCGACAAATTATATTTGCAGTCTGTGACTGCCGTTCTGTCTTCTCAGATTGCTCTTCTTCTTTTTTTTTCTTGTTGTAACCAATTGTACATTTCAGCTTTATATTAACTACCAGGGAATGTAATTATCATTGTTATGGCCTCTTCCTGTCATATGGTCTATTATGTGTTGTTAACGAGCATTAAGGGCCATGTTTAACCTCTGAACTTTGCCCTCATCAGGGTCAGCAGCAGTATGAAGGGTGGAGGTGGAGGGAAAGAACCTCCGGTGGAGGGAGAAGTCAGCGGAAAGCGGCCCAAACGCAAGTGTCTGCAGTGGCACCCACTGCTGGCCAAGAAAGCTCCAGACTTCTCTGAGGAAGAGGAGGAGGAAGATGAAGAGGAGCTGGAGAAGGTGAATGATTGCACAAACTGGATTCACTTCAGTGCATTAACCCTAGTGTTTTGCTCATTACAGCAGGTGCTCTTCAAAGACCTGAAGTCTGTAGACTACATAAGATTAAAATGGGAGTTTTATGGCTTGTAGTTCATGTGTTTGTGTTGAGGTCATCTGTATGCTGGCGTACTTCTAAACACTGACTAACTAGTTTTTTGGAGATTTAAACATTTCACTTTTTCAGTCATTTACAATACAGTTCAAAAGTTTGGGGTCAGAAGGCTTTTTTTTTGTTTTTTGAAAGAATTCTCTTATTATTACCAAGGCTGTATTTATTTGATCAAAATACAGTAAAAATAGTAATATTTTGAAATGTTAGTACAATTTAAAAACTGTTTTCTATTTTAAAGGGGTCATATGATGCAATTTCAAATGTTCCTTTCTCTTTGGAGTGTTACAAGCTGTTCGTGCATAGATAAGATCCCTAAAGTCTCAACTAAAGTCTCAAACCCAAAGAGATATTCTTTATAAAAGTTAAGATTTGTCCACGCCCTCCTAAAACGCCTCGTTTAAACACGCCCCCACATGTCTACGTCACTATGTGGTAAGATTTGCATAACACCGCCCAAATCTTCACGCAAAGAAAGAAGGCGTAACTTTTATTCTTGCTGTAGTATTGTTGTTGCCACCGCCGCCGCCATGTTGTGGAGATGCTGTGTGTTTCATTGTGAAAGCGAAACTACTTTGTTTGGCCTTCCAAAAGAGGACGATATCCGCTTCGTCATGCCTAGAGCTGATCCGTGCTGGTCGCTGAGGAAATAGAACAACTTCGCGCTGTGGATTGCTGGATCGGCTTTCACCATGGACGAAGCGGAGTCCAGCCCGGGGTCGTCACATGTGGTTGCCGCAAGCCCGCCGGCCAGTCCTTCGTCGAATCCGCTGGCCGTGCTGTTCTCAAGCCCACCGGCCGCCGCTCACTCTAGCCCGCTGTGTGTGATGCTGTGTGTTTTGTTGTGAAAGCGAAAGTACTTTGTTTGGTCTTCCAAAAGAGGGCACGACTAGATATCAGTGGTTAAGTTGCATTTACAACACTGTTCCAGAACAGTTCAACCCGAATATTCAGATGTGTGTAGCGCATTTTTACGGAGGACTGTTTCCTGATCCTGCAGAGTAGCCTACAATGCATCTGTGCACAAAGGCTGTTTCTATAAAGTGGGGAAGTTCCAACTTTGCAAGGACAGTCTGGCGCTTCTGACTCAGCCTGTAAGTAAGTTTTTATTTTTATTTTTAAAGAATTTGCCACTGACGATTTAAACGAGAGTTTTGAGCAGTGTAGAGTAGCACTTGTTGTTTGTCATTACTCCGATCACAAATGCAGACATGGTTTTATGTTTACGTGGCGCGATACGCAACGCAATGTGTAAAAAGACAGTATAAGTCATTATAATCCGTAATTATGTCCCCACTGGATGCAACAAATGCCTCGTTAGTAATGGGTTTTATTGGTGTTGTCTCATTTTTTGATGATGATGATAGAAATCATTTATTTTAAATTGAAATCTTTTTAAGATTAAACATATTTTAAATGTCTTTACTGTTACTTTTGATAAATTTATTTAAATTCAACTTTTGAATGGAAATGTATATTGAGGGCTGTATTGACAGATATTTGTCCAATAAAATTCACTTTAGAATTTGAATAATATCAAAATAGCATGTAGCAAATCAGTTTTTTTTTTTTTTTGCATCAAATTTTTTTAATTTAATTCGAAATACCTATACTTGAAAACCAACAATAGAAACAGCATAATGTCTACTCTGAGTGATGGGTATGGAATACTGTGCCAGAAGCTAATGTCTTGCATTTTGGTCAATTATTTTGTAGAGGAAGGACAAATATCAAACTACCTCTGTAGCTTTCTTGTGGTTCATATTTTTCAGTGTTGAAGGTTTAATGCAAGGTTTCCCAAACTTCTATTTGTGGCTTATAAGGGGACTGCAGGGGGTTCATAAGATGATAAAAAGCTAATAAATAAGTAAATCACAAATATGTACAATTAAAACAAATCATTTTACATTAAAAACACAGCTGACAAATATGTTTGGGAATCACTGGGTTATTTTGAAGGGCTCCATATTGTTTCATTTTAATATCGTACTGTGGTGAAATATTGCAGCAGAAATGTGTGAATAGGCCTTGGTTTTGTCTTAGTGTAGCTTCGTCCACTGCTGCTGTTGAACTTGACCATATCTCTGTATGTGTCTTTCCACTTTTCTCCTCAGGAGCCGGTGTTATGTGCAGAGAGCGGAGCACAGGAGGGAGAGTGTGGCGGGATGGAAGATGACAGTGAGGAATACTCCTCTGAACAACGGGCTCGCCGGCCCATGAACGCCTTTCTGCTGTTCTGCAAACGGCACCGTTCGCTGGTCCGACAGGAGCATCCGCGACTAGACAACCGAGGAGCCACTAAGATCCTGGCGGACTGGTGGGCCGTACTGGACCCCAAAGAAAAACAAAAATACACAGACATGGCCAAGGAGGTAAAAGCCAATCTTAAGGGAGGCAGACCACACACAATAACCTTGTTTTTTTTTTTTTTTGTGGTGATAGTGATTAAATGTGATAGCTAACATAAAATTAACTACGCTGATGAAAAACAGAAGGAAAAAAAACTTCTAAAAATGGAATGCATATAAATAGGCTAATCAGTTGTTAGAAAGAATAAGAAAAATGTCAACAGCTGATATGAATCTATCATTTGATGGTATGTTTTGTTTTATACAGTATAAGGATGCGTTCATGAAGGCTAATCCTGGTTACAAATGGTGTCCTGCCACCAACAAGCCAGTAAAGAGTCCCTCTCACTCTATGAGTAATGCCCGCAAGAAAGTCTGGTCTCTTCCATCCAACCCAAGCAAGGATTCTTCAGTTGCCAAAAAACAGCTCAAAACTGACAGCACACCCCAGCTCAACTTCGCCATGGCTGGTAGGAACAAAACAAACACTTAAACACATACACTATTGGTCAAATGTTTGGGTTTGGTAAGGCATCTCTTATGCTCACTCAGGCTTTTTATTTGATCAAAAATACAGTACAGCTGTAATAATAGTTCACAATATTACTATTTAAAAATTTTTACTATTTAAAAAAATATTTTGTGATGCAAAGCTGAATTTTCAGTAGCCATTACACCAGTCTTCAGTGTCATGATCCTTCACAAATCATTCTGATTTGGTGCTCATGAAGCATTTCTCATTATTATTAAGGTTGAAAACAATTGTGCTGCCTAATATTTTTGTGGAAACCGTGTGTTTTGTGGATTTTTTTCAGGATTCTTTGATGAATAGAAAGTATAAAAGAACAGCATTTATTTGAAAAAGAAATAATTTGTATCAATAAATGACTTTACTGTCACTTTTAATTAATTTAATGCATCTTTGATAAATAAAAGATTTTTTTTATAATTAAAATTAAGAACTATTGAACGTGTACATATACTTCACCACACTATGTCTCTACGTCACAGGTTGTTTAGGTGATAGTGATTAAATGTGATAGCTAACATAAAATTAACTACGCTGATGAAAAACAGAAGGAAAAAAAACTTCTAAAAATGGAATGCATATAAATAGGCTAATCAGTTGTTAGAAAGAATAAGAAAAATGTCAACAGCTGATATGAATCTATCATTTGATGGTATGTTTTGTTTTATACAGTATAAGGATGCGTTCATGAAGGCTAATCCTGGTTACAAATGGTGTCCTGCCACCAACAAGCCAGTAAAGAGTCCCTCTCACTCTATGAGTAATGCCCGCAAGAAAGTCTGGTCTCTTCCATCCAACCCAAGCAAGGATTCTTCAGTTGCCAAAAAACAGCTCAAAACTGACAGCACACCCCAGCTCAACTTCGCCATGGCTGGTAGGAACAAAACAAACACTTAAACACATACACTATTGGTCAAATGTTTGGGTTTGGTAAGGCATCTCTTATGCTCACTCAGGCTTTTTATTTGATCAAAAATACAGTACAGCTGTAATAATAGTTCACAATATTACTATTTAAAAATGTTTACTATTTAAAAAAATATTTTGTGATGCAAAGCTGAATTTTCAGTAGCCATTACACCAGTCTTCAGTGTCATGATCCTTATTATTAAGGTTGAAAACAATTGTGCTGCCTAATATTTTTGTGGAAACCGTGTGTTTTGTGGATTTTTTTCAGGATTCTTTGATGAATAGAAAGTATAAAAGAACAGCATTTATTTGAAAAAGAAATAATTTGTATCAATAAATGACTTTACTGTCACTTTTAATTAATTTAATGCATCTTTGATAAATAAAAGATTTTTTTTATAATTAAAATTAAGAACTATTGAACGTGTACATATACTTCACCACACTATGTCTCTACGTCACAGGTTGTTTAACTGTATAGTTCAGCATTTCTTAACATCTTTTTCCTCTGCTGTGTTTTTAGATCCCAATAAGATGGGCGGCTTAAGCATGCTGCTGTTAGCCGGGGAGCACGCGCTGACCGCCAGAGAGGTACAGTAACATCATTTTAATGCATATGAAAATAAAAGTTTTCTGGCTAAGTACAACCGTTGATCAAATCAAGACACCCAAGACCCCTCTTTGAATCCAAACTTGAGGACTTATTAATTAATTATTACATTTATTAATGTCAAGAATGCACTGTATCATATCAATTATTGGTCAGTAGTAGAGATTTTTTTTTAATCATCTGTATTGGTTGATATTGGATATATATTAAAGGGGTCATATGATTCAATTTCAAGTTTTCCTTTCTCTTTGGAGTGTTACAAGCTGTTCATGAATAGATAAGATCCCTAAAGTTGCAAAGACTAAAGTCTCAAACCCAAAGAGATATTCTTTATCAAAGTTAAGACTCGTCCATGCCCTCCTAAAACGCCTCGTTTAAACACGCCCCCACATGTTTACGTCAGGATGTGGGAAGATTTGCAACACCGCCCAAATGTTCTCACAAAGAAAGAAGGCGTAACTTTGATTCTCGCTGTAGTATTGTTGTTGCTGCCGCCGCCATGTCGTGGAGACGCCGTGTGTTTCATTGTGAAAGCGAAACTACTTTGTTTGGCCTTCCAAAAGAGGACACAACTAGAAATCAGTGGTTAAGTTGTATTTACAACACTGTTCCCTTAAACCGCATAAACACATTTCATTACACCAAATACACAAAATAATGTTATTTTTTAGCAACGTCATATGACCCCTTTAAATGATTTTGGATAGTTTATTGTGGATGCTTATTTCTCTCTTTTTTTCATTTAAATTACCCGTGTTGTCATCTAACTTACTAAAAGTTAATCTTTAAAAAAACTAATGATTTAAAAACACTTAAGTCAAGTCAAGTCTGCTTTATTGTCAATTCTTCCACATGTACAGCACATACACACAGAGAATTGAAATTGCGTTACTCTCAGACCCTTGGTGCATACAGATAACACTAACAGTAGAACATAAATACAGATTTAAATATAAAATACAACTATACAATTATACAAATAAGGTAAAATGTAAAAAAAATATATAAAGCAGCTCAAGGCGATTGGCAGATAGAGTGCAAACCAGTGAAGTAAACAACAGTGCAGATATAATGATTGTAGTGCAAAAGAGCTTATTCAGACTGATTAAAGTGACAGTGTGTGTGTGTGTATTTGGGCGGGGGGAGTGGGGAGAGTCCATCAGAGGGTCAGAGTTCAGTGGTGCATAGGGCAAAAGCTTCCTGACAGCCTGATGGATGAAGCTGTCCTTCAGTCTGCTGTTCCTGGCCTGGAGACTCCGCAGTCTCCTCCCTGATGGCAGCAGACTGAAGTCTGCAAACTTAATAAGGAGGTTGGAGTTGTGTGACGGTGTGCAGTCGTGGGTCAGCAGAGTGAAGAGGAGGGGGCTCAGCACACATCCTTGGGGGGCCCCAGTGTTCAGTGTGATGGTGCTGGATGTGTTACTGCCGACTCGAACTGCCTGAGGTCTTCCAGTCAGAAAGTCCAACAGCCAGTTGCACAGCGAAGTGTTGAGCCCCAGCTGGACCAGTTTGTGAATGAGCTGTTGAGGGATGATTGTGTTGAATGCTGAACTGAAGTCTATGAACAGCATTCTGACGTACAAGTCTTTTTTTTGTTTTTTGTTTTTTAATGTGATCTTTAGCAATTCTCAGAAAATCAATATTCATTTTCTACATTATTTATTTGTATTTTTTATGGTTTTATTTTTAATTTAACTAGACAAAATAGTTTAGAATTTTATTATCAGCCATAACATGAAAATAATTATTGTCCTGGTAAATATTGGCTAATTAGAATAATTTAAAACAAGTTATTTTAATATCAGTGCATCCATTATATCAAAATTCTTGTAGTTCATATGCAAGACACTCATATGCAGATCAGAACAGCCTCTGAAAACCCAAATACATCACAGTAATAACATTTAGAATGGGTTACAGTGTAATTGCACATTAATAATATGCAGACTTTGCAGTAGAAACACACGTCAGTATAACCACAGTCAAGTTAAATGAGTTTTTAAACCAGGAAAAGAAGGCTCTAGATGGGAATAACAGTTATTAGTCTAGATCCATGTCCTCGTGTCTTGATGAGATTGAGACAAATCTGCATCATTCTTTACTCACGGCAGACCTCTGATATAATGAGCACATGATCAGTGCTCATGTAAATAGACTGTGACAGGCCCATCTCCACGGATACGGCAGCCGCAGCGGGCTGTGACTAAACAGACTGGGATGACAGTTTTGGGCCCCAAACTGGGTTTGTGTGCCATTAGGAGGTGCATAGACTCCATAAATTGTAGAGCTTTATGAGGCGTTGAAGACGCTAGGCCAATGTGTGTGTGTGTGTGTGTGTGTGTGTGTATGAATCAGGGATGTGTGCTGTTTGTGTGTGATCTTGTGGGTTCCTCAGACTCTCACCCCTGTTAATCCTCTGTAAATTCCATTTTCCTGCCACTAAGTGATCCTAATTGCCTTCGGCGCAGTGCATTTGTCACTGAAGAGGGCCACGAGAGGATTATACTAAACAAAAGGCAGCGCCTCGTTGTTTTGCGGACAAATCACATTACATCTTCTGTTTGGTCTTATTTGAGGAGCCAGGGCTGAATTCTTTACCTGTTGGCTGTACATAATGTTTAACCAGAAATAGTCTTCTGAATCTCTCTGTTGTCAAACACAATCTCAAACACAGGTTGATCTACAGCGACTGCACCTGGCATTAGTGCACTGCAAATCGTTTAAAGTCACTAATAAATTGAGAGTAACACCATGTTGAAGTTGCTTCATGTCGACAGTCGTCTCTTTCTAGTTTTTTGTGCTGTATAGCTAAATCATGTGTGAATTTATTCATGAATGTATTATGCATTCAAATATTTTTAAGTGTTACATAAAAGCCAATATGTGATATTTCTGGTGCCCAATGCAAGGCAGTCCTATTTTTACAGATAACTTGTTGCTGTTTTTTTTTTTGCACTGCATATTCACACTACTATTTAGAAGTTTGGGGTCACTAAGATTTTTATTTATTTTTTTTCAAGAAATTAATACTTTTTTCTGCAAAGACACATTAAATTGATCAAAAGTGACTGTAAAGACATTTAAACAAATGTTCTTCTACTTTATTTCTGGAGTAATAACTGCAAAAAATTCAGCTTTGCCATCACAGAAATAAATTACATTTTAAAATATATTACAATTGAAAACTATTTTAATTTTTCATATTTCAATTATTTTAAATTGTAATAATATTTCACGATATTACTGTTTTTACTGTAGTTACATGCAGTCTTGGTGAGCATAAGAGAAAAAACTTACAGAGCCCAAACTTTTAAATACTACAAAACAAATATTTTATTTACAAATATCAAATGTGTGACTTGATTTCTATGACTTCATTATATACAGTATTTAAATAACTTTTAACCATCATATCAAAGTCAGTTCATCATGTTTCTGGTTTTGGGCCTAAAAATATGTTTGTTTGTTTGTTTTTTATTTCTACATTTGTACATTATGTAACCATTTGTAGCATTATAAAAAATAATTAAATATATTGTAATTTAAAAGTAATATAATTATTATTATTCTTTAATTTAAAATAATTTATTTAAAATACTTATTTCTAAAATAGGTCATATAAGTGGATTTCAGTGAATACAGTGTAGCATAATTATTCACCTGTTTAACTGTTGCTTGTGTTTAGTTTCTGAGGTGATGTGCAGCGGTTTCCAGCATAGACACCTCAAGCTGTCTGTCATTTCCTGTTTAGACAGAGTAATTGATGGCTATTTTTTTATTTTATTGAACCTACCTGTTGCTTTTCCATCACGCTGTCAACAGAGGGAGGTGTTGAGTTGTAAATGTCAGTGGTCATTTCAAAGAGGATGTTGATTCACTGTTGTTTACTTTTATGGTTTTGTTCAGCTTTAATTATTTCTTCTTTTTTTTTTGCTTTCATTTTAGATTTCCTCCAGCTCTTCCCAGGCAGGAGGCACAGATGTTGCCAAGCACACTGGGAAATCAGCCCTCTTCCAGCTGGCTGAGGTGAGACCACCTGAAGACTTGTCAGTCCTTAACAACAGAGCTTTAAAACCCTCCTTAGCAGTGAGACGACTCAGATAACGATGGTTGGCTGTGTACGTCCAAATGACTTGCTTAATGAACTGAATGCATTTTGTTTGTTTTGACTCTTTCCCCTCAGATTTCTTCCAGTCCAGCACAGCCAGCTGGGGGAAGTAAGAACGCTGAGGACACAAGCTCTCTCACACATGTAGAGGTGAGGCTTTTGGACACTTTAAGTGAAGCATGTGGATATGGTCTCCATTATCTTGTGAATTTAAAATTTTATCTGAGCACTCATTTGGTTCATTTTAATGTCCTTCTTAGGCCTCTGGACCATCTCAGCCAAGTTCACCAGACCTACCCAAGAGTTGTGTTAAATCACCCTTGTTTCAGCTGGCTGAGGTTTGACTCCATTGCCCCCCTGTCCATCCCACTTTGAATGTCCTTTGACGCTCCTTACATCTCTCACAGTGCAGTTACAATCATGCTATGCTATGAAGGAATTATTCTTAAATGCATTATGGGTTGTTCATATTGACTGCATATATGTTTTGCAGACAGTGACCACAGCAGAAACCTTCAGTAACTCATAGAGTGCCAATAAAATGTCCCATTTCTTCTTTTGCTGGTGTATTACCTGCTAGAACACCAACTTCCTCTATCCAGGCAGCCATTTTGATACTCCTGCACTTCCAGTCATTCCTTTTGGTTTCAGCATTTCTCTTCATTGTCATTAACTGGCATGACCCTCTGCTGTTTTTATTTGGTTTTAAGAAGAATTTGAGCAGTTTGCGCTTTCTGTTCTTAAATTGTGGCACAAAACGTGACGGCATGTGACACGAGACTGGTTGTATTAGGCAGTTTTTTTTTTTTTTTTACTGTTAACTTAAACTACATTTTTTTCTGTAAAGTAAAACTGAAAAAAACCCTTGAGCTTAAAATACTGAGCGAAAATTAGAAATGTTGCTTTTTCAGATAACTGAATTAAGTTGAGGTACTAAAATTACTAAAACTTTATTAAAAATAAATTAAATACAGAAATATTAAATATAGAAAAACAAGAAATATTAAAATATTACAAATAAAACCAAAATTGATGAAAGCAACAAAATGACTAAAACAAACTAAGATTAAAACAGAAAAAAAGTTAATTCACTGTCTAATTAGACAGTGACCTGCAATCTCTTAATATTACTAAAACAATACTTATTAGTTCTTATTAGGGGTGCTAACTAAGGCAGCATCTCTATTGTAAGTGCTTATACCTAGAGTTTGAACAAATCTCAGTTTTGAACAAATTCTCAGTTTTATATATTTATTTATCCCACAGATTTTTAAAACAAATCCCATAGATTTTTTAATGCCCTAGCAACTACATAGTAATACGCTGGCAACCACTCATAAAGGGGTCATATGAGGCTGCTAAAAAAGAACATTATGTTGTGTATTTGGTGTAATGAAATGTGTTTATGCGGTTGAAGGTTCAAAAACCATTATTTTCAACATACTGTACATTATTGTTTCTCCTCTATGCCCCGCCTTTCTGAAACGCGTTGATTTTTACAAAGCTCATCGGTCTGAAAAGCGAGGTGTGCTCTGATTGGCCAGCTATCCAGTGCGTTGTGATTGTCCGAATACCTCAAGCATGTGACGGAAATGTTACGCCCCTTACCATACTGTGATGCTGTGTCCCGGCGCAATGAGACAAAACCAATAAAACCCATTACAAACAAGGCATTTGTAGCATCCAGTGGGGACATAATTACAGATTATAATGACTTATACTGTCTTTTTACGCGTTGCTTTGCGTTGCATCGCGCCGTGTAAACATAAAACCATGTCTGCATTTGTGATCGGAGAAATGACAAACAACAAGCGCTACCCTACACTGCTCAAAACTCACGTTTGAATCATCAGTGGCAAATCCTTTAAATATGAAAACGTACTTGCAGGCTGTGAGTCAGCATTATTTGTCAGAACACAAGCATTGTAGGCTACTCTACCAGGAAACAGTCCTCGTCCTCAGTAAAATGCGTGGCACACATCTGAATATTTGGGTTGAACTGTTCTGGAAAAGTGTTGTAAATACAACTTAGCCACTGATTTCTAGTTGTGTCCTCTTTTGGAAGGCCAAACAAAGTAGTTTCGCTTTCACAACAAAACACACAGCGTCTCCACGACATGGCGGCAGCAGCAACAATACTACAGCGAGAATAAAAGTTACGCCTTCTTTCTTTGCATGAACATGTGGGCGGTGTTATGCAAAGCTTCCCACACAGTGACGTAGACATGTGAGGGCGTGTTTAAACGAGGCGTTTTAGGAGGGCGTGGACGAGTCTTAACTTTTTATAAAGAATATCTCTTTGGGTTTGAGACTTTAGTCTTTGCAACTTTAGGGATCTTATCTATTCACGAACAGCTTGTAACACTCCAAAGAGAAAGGAAAACTTGAAATCGCATCATATGACCCCTTTAACTCCCTGCCACCATGGTGGTGAGTTTTGCATGTGCGAGCACCACTCGCATTTTCTAAGTTTTTATATTACTTATATGCCATCACAACATTGTGATTTAAATCAGAATTTTATTCCTCTCTGTGGGTGAATTTTCTAATGAATTGTCAGAATAATTTCCTATTCCTCTGTTTATCGCTTGATTTGTGTGTTTTGTGTGTCTCTGTAGCAGATCTCCTCCAGTAGGTCTCAGTCAGCGTCTGAGGGGAGGCAGTGCGGCCAGTCGGCTCTTTTCCAACTCGCTGAGGTACATCACCAACCCACATACAGCACAATCACTGCCCTGGGTTACACAAAGATACAAAACAGGAGGAGGAATGTTATGCTACATACAGTATTTGATGTTATAATGACAATGTTATGTAATAAATCCTAGGGGAGTTTTGATGTGTAGGTTTCCACCTGGTGGGTGTTTATATATCTTAGCCAATTAAATATCTTATAATTATATATAAGTTTATATATCTTAAATCTACCAATTAAACACTTGAATTCAGAAGCATTTGCTGAAAATTCGTTTTAATATTTTATGCAATTAATTTTTAATAAAATATTAATTACAATGTTAATTTTGAGTTAGGCTTGTAAGCACCCTAGCAATTGCATAGCAACAATTTGACAATCACCCATTTTAATCAAAATGGTCTAAAATAACTTGAAACAACTTGGCTTTAGAACATATAACAGATTTATTAGTATGTATAGTATTACTTCAATAAATAATATATAATAATTTTTTTCAAAAATCCTTTATTTTATTTTAATTTGCATTTAAATGTTAAAATTAATTGTATTTATTTATTTTAAAACAATCCACTAATTAAACATATTATTTGCTGAAAAGAGTTTTAATATCCTAATTGAATTAATGTATCTTTATATTAATTTTATTAATAATTGAAAGCAGGTAAAAACTCTACCAAATGAGCAAAAACCGCACACTTTTTTTTTTTTCAAAATATATTTGCTGAAAATGAGCTTTAATATCTTATGTAATGAATTCATCTTTTTAAAGGATGTTAAGATGTTTTTACTTGAAAGCCTTGTTACACGTGAGTCATTTTTCTATAACCTGATGTCCTTATGTGTATATAGATGTGTTTGGCCTCTGAGGCTGAAAAGATGGAAGTTCGATCCTCCCAGCCCTCTGGTGGTTCCTCCTCACTCTGTGCTCAGCACAGCTCAAGTAGCAGAGGCATCACAGAACATGAAGAGCAGGCAGATGCTCCTGAACTTCCTCTCATCACATCATCATCATCCTCATCATCATCCTCTACCTCCGGCTCCACCTCGTCCTCCCCTACTGATGCCACCCCATCTGATCTCAGCCCGTGTAAGACGCTGAAGAAGAAGAAAAAGAAGAAGGAAAATAAAGACTCAGACGAAAATCCTGCATCGCCCAAAAAGGCAAAGAAGCGCCATTCGCCAGAGTCGGATCTGGACAGCGTGATGTTCACCATCGAAGCAGTAGCAAAAGGTGCTTGGGGCTCAGAAGAAACACCCAGGAAGAAACCTCATCCCTCAGGGAGTGAGAGCAGCCCCACCATGGACCAATCTCCAGCTGTGAAAAAGAAAACAAAACCGAAACCGAAAAAACAGCTGAAATTAAAAGATGACAGCGTGGAGGAAGAGGAAGAAGGGGACGTAGAGACCAATAAACCGCAGGACGTAGAGATGAAAACTGAGGAAGCTCCTCTGACCCCTAAAGCTGAGTGTGAAAATGAGCCAGACATGAAGGTGGAGCCCCCTAGTGGCGTGGAGGACACGGCACCACACTGCTCTCCTCAACCTACAGAACTGGAGGAGAAAGACACAGACACCAAAACACCTCAAACCAGACAAGAAGATAAAGAGCCAGAGGTTAAGCAGGAGACCTGTGGGTCTAGGAAGTCTGAGAGAAGCTGTAAAGGAGCACTTTATAAGACTCTGGTGTCCGAAGGGATGCTTACATCACTGAGAGCAAATGTGGACAGAGGTAACGCACACGCACACACACACACCTCCCACAGGTTCCTTTCCCGTTTGTTGATCTTGTCATAGGTGCTGTATGACTGGATTTGAACTTCATTACACTTTAGTTCTAACTGATTATAGCCACTTTCATACAGAAATTCCAGAAAATACACGGATAATGTGTCCCGGGATCGTTTGATTGTGGTTCATTCACACTGCCAGTGATTTTCCGGAATCTGTGTGTGCGTTCACACACATCCCGTAAAGACATGTGACATTATGATGTGACGTGTACTGTAACGCGTTCTGTTTCATTTAAGCTGGCGAACGATCTCAGCTTCAGCGCGGATAGTGAAGAGCTACCTGATCTCTGCTTCATTACAGTTTGCACATATTTTTTAGTTGCGAACGTTGATCTGCCTTCAAAACACCCGGTAAAAGAGTCACACGATAACGTGCGTCATCACTACGACACACCCTTTACGGCATTGGTTCTGGCTTTTGTTCACACAGAGCTCGTTCCGGGACTGAACGCGGCAATGTTACTAGGTCCCCAACCCGGAATCAATCCCGGGACGTGTTTGCGATCACACAGAAGGCACTCCGCCAATTTTCCGGGACCAACGTGCAGTGTGAAAGAAGCTTATGTGGAGCAAATAGTAGCATCAATCAAAGAACAAAAGAAAATGTGATATAAATCAACCTCATGTAACCTCAGTTTATATTTTATTTGCCTGTTGTTCGGCGCTGACTAATACAGATGCATCTCAATAAATTAGAATGTCGTGGAAAAGTTCATTTATTTCAGTAATTCAACTCAAATTGTGAAACTTGTGAAACTTGTGAAAGACAGTAGCGCACACAAAATAGTATCTGTTCCGTGCTCCGGCGCGGTTAGCGCTCACACTGCATGCATACCGAGCCCAACCAAACCGTGCCCTGGCCCACCTCTTCCAACCGGGCCAGGGCCGGCTAAACGAACGGAGCGCTCACACTAGTCAAACGAACCGGGCTTTGGGGGTCAAACACGCTCAGGCGCACAGTTCAAAAGGCCTAGTGTGAGTACACCCTTTGTTTCATATTAAAAGTACCAAAGCACAATGCTTATTGCGATTTATTGGATGGGAGGTGTGCTTCAATGTTCCATCCATTAACTGAAAACAGGCTAGACTAATCGATTCTTGGTATTTAAAAATCGATATCGTTTCGTAAAAATGAGAATCGATTATAATCGAGATATCGATATTTTTTACCCAACCCTACTTGGTTATAAACGGGCCAAAAGAGACCTCCGAACTACCAGAAATAAAATTAAAATACCTTACCGTTTTGGCTCCGAATTCGTTTAATTCCTGATTTTAGTAATACATGATATACTTTATATCAAATACATAGCTTGACTACAAGTTTAAAAACAACGCTTTGTTATAATCAAGGGAATTAAACTTACCATCCTGAAATGCGATAATGCCAAAAAGAAAGAGAAACATCGGAAAATAGGCATATTTTATTCAAGACATATTAGGCTACATATGTGAAATCAACATGCATTTATCATTCTTTACAATCACGGCCTGAAAGTCCAACTTCACCATGATGAACTTAAAATTGGGCTCTATTATTTTTCCTCACAAATGTATTTTTTTTTCCTCGCGGGCCCGCGATAACCTCTCCGTGCTCAGGTGCGTCGAAAGACTTTAATCATGTATGGACAGCCAGAGATATTGTCAAATCATCAAATATTGGCAGTATTAAGGGCATTTCCAATTAATGTAGGGCTGTTACATTCTTATTATTATTAGGCCTATTATTATTGGGTTACTTTTATTATTAAATTAATATTACAATTAATTTGCCCCGCAATAATTTCATAGCGCATCACCGCATAACTAGCGCGCTGAGGATAATAAAAGATTAGGCTTTTAGCTTACTCCTCATTGAAAATGTTTTTAAAAAAGGTCCTTCAAAACAGGTTTATTATACAATGAATTATAAGCCTATAATTAAAATTATTAACACTGCAGTTACAATGAAAATTTAGAGCAGCTTTATTTCAAGCAATGAGCATTTCTTCTCATTTTTTCATTATGTTCGGGCCACAAGAGAAATATTAAGGGAGTAAATTAAAACAGTTATATACCATTATCAGCATATTAAGTAGATTCGTCTCTCGTCGTCTCTGAAAGAATATGCGCCGTTAATGCAGCGTCAGATGCCGAAAGCTCCGTCAATTTTTACTTTCACTTTCTGGTGAATTCACTAAGATTAAGACGTTCACCTGCATAAGTTTGCACGTTGCTTGTGTGATATCCATTGGCTCACCTACATGGTTTAAAACAAATATTTACAATATTGCGATGTATCCCAACCCCGACTTGCGGTTCGTGGGGGGGACCAGCGGATATGCCCTAGGCTACTCCACTGAACATGGTGTGTGTTTATGGTGCATGTCGGCAATGTGGTCTCGGTGGAGGTGGGGCTTTGGTAGACGATATTATCGGATATCGTGATGTTTTTTAAGGCGATTATCGATAAGATATTTTTACATATCGCCCAGCCCTACTTCCTAGCATTTTCTAAGAAAGTATTTTCCAATGTAATTGGATCTTTGTACTCCACTGTAGGCTGAAGTACAATTTCAACAACATGAAACCTGAAATGTGTTCATTTTAACTTATATTATACTGAATATCATTTAGCATTTTCACTTTGATTCAATTGGCCTTTATCTCAAATTCAATTCAATTCACATATAAACTAAAATCAGTTGATACAGTAAATGAAAAAAGTGCTGTTTGGTCTTCTGGTCGTGTTCTAGGGAAAAGAGGTTCCATGCGAGGCAGTGTGTCCGATCATGAAGGAAGCTGGAATGACGAGAGCTGGGGATTTTCTCAAGCTGCTACCAGCAACCCAAAAAAGCTCAAGAAGTCCAAGTCTAAAGAGGAAACCACCACAGGGTGAGCTGTGATTTCTCCCATCACAGCACTGAATCTACAGGGAAACAGTGATTCTTCTCCTGCAGAGGAGTTTGTTTTATTTGGGCTGCAACTAACAACTATTTTTATAATGGAATATTTTTTTATTCTTGATAAATCAGGTTTAAAAAAAAAATTAATTTTCTGCATTTTATTGAAAAATTTACATCTTTCCCAATGTTCCTTCAAACAACAAGCAAATTTAAGGCTATAAAAACACAGAAATATAATAATGAATGAATGCTATACATGGGTTTTAAATATAAATTATGCTCTATAAACTATGCATTTGTTATTTAAACTGCATGTTTTTTTTATATTATCTAAAAGTACAGTTTAAATAGTTTTTAAGTGTATCAAAACAACAAACAAAAATTTGTCCATCATTTAAAAGTAGCAAAACCGTTTGAATAATTACAAGTTTGTTGTCGACTTTTTCTGTTTTTGATTTTTAGTTTTTAATTCATTAGTTGCAGCCGAATTCAACATTGATTATTGATTGATATCAGTTGAATTAGTATATTTGACATTGAGGCTAACTTTTGGGTTTGCTGTTTTTTTTATTAGGTTAATTGGAGAGTGTTAATGGTCTAAAAAGACTTAAAACATTTCTCAAAAGCTGTCAGTTTCTGTGCATTAGGTTAGCTTGGTAAATATTGGTAAATTGTGTACATTTCAAGCATGTATCATACTCATATTTGCCATCCCATGATCATAGTTTATCAGTATAACATTTTTTAAGAACATTCCATCGTGTTTCATTGTGCAAGATTGAAGTCAGTTAATCTAGAAGACGTTGAATCCAGGTGAGCAGACTTTGCACACAGATGGCTAATGTTTTACTGTGTATAAAACTCACAGACTAGGAAAGCTTGAGGAGGAGTTCGAGAAAAAGTTCAACAGCTTACCGCAGTACAGCCCACTGACTTTTGACAAAAAGAGCGTGGCGGTCACCAAGAAGAAAAAAAACAGTACGTCCAGCCCTCCTGAACCGCCCAAACCCTGCAAGGGTGAGTTCACAGCATGCATGGAAACTGACATCACATCCTCCTGGCCCCCACACTCATTTCCCCATTTGCTTACTTTCTTAGGAAGTAGCCATCTCATGTTCAGAATGACATGACTTCCACCTAACATAGCATGCTGTGTTGTATTTTTTGTTCTGTTTTATTGCTTTTTAAATTAGGTTCATCTTCATCTCAGAAAAAGACCTTATTCCACAAGATAGTGAACAAGTACAAACACAGGAAGGAGAAATCCAGTGCCGCAGACAAAGGTGACGCCCCCACAGCCATTAGAAACTGTTCTGATATCAGCTTCATTCTGTTCAGATGGCAAGACTGTGTGAACGAGTGCTGGAAACTCTGCTTGCATGGTGTTGGTTGTTTGTCCGGGGTTTAGCCCAGTGTGCCTCAGTGTTTCCTGCTGCATAGCAGGGAACGCTGTCATATCTAGGTCACTGTATACTCTGGTTATCTTTAAAGGGGCACACGAGTCACAGTTATGTAAATACTTTGATGCAGCCTGGTGTGGTGTAGTATTAGTGGCGCAAGCTAAATGCAATATAACATCATAAAGCATCATTCATTGTCAGGCACCTGCATTAGGACTTCCAGGTCTCATTTTGACTTATTTCACATGTCCCCACTCTGTTCTTTTAGATATCGTCCCAACTGACCCAGTGAATACAGAATCAAGTCCAGTGAAGTCGTGCAGCCCGTGTGTGCCTCCCTCTCCTGAAACCCAGAAGGTTCTGGACACACCTGTGGGCAGTCAGAAGAGGAAGGCCAGGAAGAGTAAAATCACACATTTGGTGCGCACTGCTGATGGCAGAGTGTCACCTGCAGAGGGTGAGCTGAACCCACAGTTTCCTGTTGCAAAGTCTTATTTATGATTTCTAAACCGATAATGTCTTGCAGAAACGCTCTACACCCATGTTCTACTTTTCTTTCTTTTTTTCAATGTACCTTGCCGTTCAAAATTTAAGACATTTTAATGGTTTTGTTTTTTTAAAGTGTCTTTTGCTCACTGAGGATGAATTTAATTGATCCAAAAAAAAATTAGTTATATTATTACAAAATAAGTAATTGTATTAATTGTAATTGTAATAATAGTTTAATATATTTTCAATTGTAATTCCTGTTTTTCCTGAGATGTCAAAAGCTGAATTTTCAGCAGCCATCACGCCAGTCTTCAGCGTCATATGATTCTTTATAAATCATTCTAATATGCTGATTTGGTAATCAAAAATTATTTGATTAATTGATCACATTTGAACAATTGAACATATTTGATTTAATGTCAGTTTTTATCAATTGAATTCATCCTTGCTGAATATTAATTTCTTTAAAAAAATTATATTACCTTTGAATAATAGTGTAGTATTATTATTATATTAGTATTTATTGTTTTTTTCATATATATATATATATATGTATGTATATATACAGTATGTATATAAAAAGAAACAATTTACACCGAATGTACAACAACACAGCATCATGAAGCATCATGCAAAAAAAAAAGTTAGCCACTGATGCCACGTGCCAATTTCATATATGTATATTTATAATTTTTCCACACATTTTTTATAATGTGAAATAAGCTAATTGAAAAAAAAATTTCAATTCATTAACCGTTGGAAGTTGTTAAGAGTTAATTTTAGACCCTGCCTACGAGTGTTTCTGACTGAATCATCACATGGAAAGCCAGTCAAACCTTTTGGTAACACTTTACAATAAGGTTCCATTAGTTAATGCTAGTTAATGTATTAACTAACGAACAATACATTTATTACAGTATTTATTAATCTTTGTTAATGTTAGTTAATGAAAATACAGTCGTTCATTGTTAGTTCATGTTAATTCACAGTGCATTAACTAATGTTAACAAGCGCAACTTTTGATTTTAATAATGCATTAGTAAATGTTAAAATTAACATTAGCTTAGATTAATAAATACTGTAGAAGTATTGTACATGCTCAGTTCATGAAATTTAAGGGGGTCTGAATACTTTCCGTACCCACTGTAGTTTAATAATAGACACTGCACTCATTTTTAGCTACCGTAGACAATGCTTTTAGTTGTCGTTGGCTTTCGTTATAATAGCAAGTTTTGGTTTGTTTTTGTTTTAGTCTCAAGTTAGCTTTTGTATCATCACTGAGATGCTCAGCCCTCATATTTTCCTGTACCTGAGGCTGAAGACGCCATTCCAACTCAAAGTTTTGCTGATTCTGTCCATTCCTTCAAGCACACAATGGGAGAGTTAGAAGGGAAAATCAAACAGGGATTGACATGGAAGAGAAAGGCGTTTCTCTCACTCTCTCACAGACACACTCGCACACACACACACAAACACATGTTCTCCTGCAACGTGCACATCCTGTGTTTTAGGCACTTGTGAGTCAGACCCTTGCAGGGTCACATTCTGGTCTTCAAACCAGATTGTGTGCTGTGTGTCAAACAACACATTGCAAAAAAAAATCATGTTCTTTTTAGGATTTATTTTTTTTATTTTTTTGTAATAAAATTATCTAAAAATAAATCCTTCAAACAAGATCAGTTCATTTGAGAAGCAAAATTGTGTGTTTGGCACACAATTTTAAACACAATTCTTACTACGTTCGGCTGAAAAAGCAAGAGAAATAAGATTAATTCAAGATAACTAGTGGGGTTTTGATTTAGGTGAATCAATTTTTGAATGAGTTTACTAAAAAGATTAATTTACTGATCCGTTCAGTGACCTTTTCTGCCGACTGCATCATTATTCCAGTAAGTGGTGACAAGCCAGTGTCATTTAGTGAGTTATGAGGAAGTTCTGAATCGTTAAAAACCACAGGGTGGTTCATGATCAAAACAAGCCTTTATTAAAATGTGAGTGCCTACAAATTGGAGAAAGGTTTTATGTCTTGGAAGCCATGGAACATAATTAATAATTTTCTGCTTAACCGATTCATTCAAAAACAGATTTGTTCGGTTTATTCTTGTATTATTTTGCACAGTTTTGCTTCTCAAGTAATTTAATTGTGTTTTAAGGATGTTTAGATATTTTAGTGGAAAACGTTTTCTGCTTCGAAAAAGATTTTTGCAGTGCACATCAGCTCCCTGTGTTCTTGGGCTGGTTCGAACCTGCTTCCTGAAACCCTCCCGAGGTCGTAGGGAGCCTAGATTCGATAAATGAAGGAATTCTATAAGCCAGATCACAGGTTTAAAAGCCGCACATTCTTTCACTGTTCAAGTCAATCTTTTTTCCTTTTTAATAAGTCGATTGATGTTCTTTTGTCTGTTTTGCTTTGAAAGTCACCGATTTTTCTTCTATAAATGATATTGTCTGTGAATTTATGAATTTATAACTAAGGTTTTTTTTCTACTTCGAAATACTGTATTTAATTTGTTCTCCTTAGAACACCTGTTTTTCCTTGCTTCGTTCGTAACATTTAATTTAGACACCTCAGCCTTTCCTGAGGTGTGCTCTACTGGATCGAGAGTGTTGTCAAAAGCTCATGTACAAATATCTGTGTATATATATATATATATATATATATATATATACTCATTGTATGGAAAAATGCAGCATGGACATTCTTCAAAATGTCTTCTTTCTTTTTTTATGCCATAAAGTAAATCCTACTGAATTAGAATGACATGAGGGTGCATAAATGGTGCCAAAAATTACATTTTTGTGTGAATTACCCCTATAAAGATTGATCCCATCTCGCCAGTGTCCCCTCATGATTGTCATTCTTTAACGTGACCCCTGCATATCCAGGGGGTGAAATATGTGTGTTTTAACAAATTGTCATTGCTAGCGAGAATTATAATGCGTTGAATGATAACATGGCTTATTTGAACGTCCCTGCATGATGCATCTTTAGAATCTGATCCCATCCCATGATGCCCCCATCATGAAGTTCACCCTTCTTTTTTCTATTTAGAAGATGCCTCTTAGCGAATTGCCTCTATGAAACAGAAATTCCTATATTAGCTATAAAGATTATGATATTACCCTTTTGTGCTAGATTGTCTCTTGAATGTAATGGATTTTGTACCTGTATTTTTCTAATTCCAATCCAGTCTTTCTGTATGTGGTGGCTTTATATGGAGGAATTCTAGGCTGCTTCCTTACGTGAAAAATTTGTAAAAACTTCCAGTCATCCTCGAGACACAAACCATGACCTCCAAAATGTGCAGTGCAACTGCCACCATCATATCTGACATCAAATAGTTTTTCACTTTTACGCATTTAGACCCGAACATGCAATAGCAGCGATCACGGATATCAGTTGCCAAACCTTTCCACGTTTCACCTTCTCTACTCGTTTCGAGTCTTAATAACCTTGAATATGCACCCTATCAACGATGAGGATTTTGTCTGTACAAGAATGTACGTTCATGGCTTTAGATGCAGTTGTGGCGCTGTCTTTTTAAACGCTTACCCGAGATCCTGTTCTTGATTCCTCTAAGGAGTTTATACTTGTGTGCTTGATCTGATTATTGTCACTAGTACTGTTTGATGCAATGTATGGATCTGATTGTTACAGCCCAGTTGTTGATGCAGCCTTGCCTTACTGATCCCCTGCGTAGAGAGGGACCCCTTTGCCATTGCCCTTCTCACTGAGTCTTATGTCATAACACTGTCTGCTGACGCAAATGTTATTCTTTACACACCTATTAAAGTAACAAACATATGAATATGTCTGGCTGCAGTCTTGCTTTCAGATCATGAAAGTCACTGATAGACTCGTACATGGAGGGTTTAATCTGACAAGACAAGAATCCTTTTCATTCAGGAAAAGTAGATTGGGATAATAGATTTTTGATTAGTTAACCATTATTATTATGATTTATTTTTATTTTGTATTGTTTTTTACATTCATTTATCTAATGCAGTTTATTTCATTTTTTAACTTGGCATTAAAATTCATAGTTATATTTTATTCATTCAAAATTATTATTATTTAAAATATGAATGAAATCAGACAATAATATTTACAATGATGATGTGATCTCATTTTTGATAAAACTAGCAATTAAATTAACTTCAACTTGGCAACAAAATACCGTTTTATTTAAATAATACTATTAATAATAATTATTATTATTAAATTAATATACTTTTTTGTTCTACATTTGAGGGCTGTAAATAATTCATAATAATAACAATATAATAACTAATACAAATAATATTTATCACTGTTGTTACCCATATTAAAGTTAAAGTTAAAGTTAGAAACCCATAACACAAAAAAAGTTGTTGCGAAAATAAGTTCTGTGGTTCACTTATTTAGGCTAGTGCAGTTGGTGGTAGAGCACATCATGATATATAGGTACCGCCTTCATTCATTTTGAATTAACATGTTAGACGTGGAGGAACCAAAAGTGTACATCTGAAGTACAGACTCTGCATACAGTGATTACAATGATGTCTTTACTGTCTCTTAGCCACCTGATTCTTACTATCTTCAGCTTCACGCTGTGTGTATGTGAGGGTAAGTAACTGATATTTGTGGTGAATTTTATTATTATTATTAATGATAATAATAGAAAATTATTTGATTTAATGTGAAGCTGGCTACTGTAGAACCTAAAAGTGTTTACAGTCTGATGCTATTAGATTTCTATTAAAGACTATTTTAATGTTTATTATTTACTTGGTGCGCATTGAATGAAAAAATAATAAACATTTTTCTTCTGTTATATATTTTTTAACTGGGGGAAAAAATACAAAATAATTTCTATTTTTAAAAAAAGAGTTGCGCTGAATTACCTTTTTATTTCATTTTGCAGGTGTGTTGGTTTTCAGAGCAGTGAAAGGAGAAACTGTTAATCTGCCCTGCCACTCACCCTCTAACAACAGTGAACTAATTTCTGTACAGTGGAGAAAAAATAGAGCAG